ACAGGAGGACAGGCATTTTTGGGTAGGGTATTACCTATCCAAAATGCATGACATGAAGAAACTCAGAAGTTTAGTTACAAGATAGAGCTTGCAGGTGGCCGACAGTGGATGACCTATCACACTAAGCACAGAAAGATTTTTCTTTTTCATGTGTTGGATGTGGGAGTATATGTACAGGGCTGGCTGAAGAAACTGGCAAGACAAACTTTCTTCAGACTGTGGAAAGCCCTAGTTAGCTTGATTTGTCCAGACCATGCCCCAAATCTGTCTGTGCTCCAGCATGGAGGATCTGACATGGTATCAGACTTCTATCAGCTGAGGGAAGGGTTTGAGGCCTTCCCTGCTACTGTCTGTACAAACAAATATGCAGCTGCACTGACAAACATACAGAAAATATCCCAGAGGTGACAACGCAGCCAGGCAGTCTTGAACACAGTTTGTAGGCAAGTGCTACAAACTTGCTTTTGCCAAGGTGTTGCCTGAGCTCAGAATGTGCCATTTCAGCTCACAGCTGCAGCTGCAGTGTGGGGTTGAGATTCAAAGAGGGGTGAGTCCAAACCACACATGCATCCCCCTCACCTCACTTCAGCACTTTCAGAGCTCAGTAGTCTTGCACATGGCGGCCCTTGAGGAGTGTTTCTTTTAGTGAATAAACTGTTTCTTCAGCCAGCTTTTGTGAGATGTTAGTTTGGCAATCCCTTCATGAGCTGTACAGACCAGCCTCTCTAAAAGGAGGTCAGGGAAAGCAAGAGTTAAGGAAAGGCAGCTGAGAACCACAGATGCTGAAGCAAGGGGATGTGGGGAAGATCCAGGGCAATGGTGATGTGGTGTGCTGGCAGCATGATTGGTGGAGGAGCACGGATGCTCTGATGAGCAGACCTGCAGGATGGCTTGAAGGCAAACACACAAAGCAAATAAGCCTGTCAAGCAAGGCAAGGGACTGCACATTGCAACTCTCTGGGTCTGACTCCCAAGATATTAACGATGGACTCTCTGTGCACTAAGCATGGGGTCCAGTTGAGGAAGGTAACAATTTCCCTGGCCTGTACTGGTCCCTTCCTGCAAAACCAGCAAATGTTACACATCCTGCAGAGACAAATGACACACAAAAAGCAGAGATGCTCTGAAGGATGTAAGCCCAGCAGCTCTGAGCTCTGCCATGGGAGGTCACAGGCAGGTCTGGGAAGCAGCACAACCCTCGAGCAGGGTGGCAGGCAGTCGGACCTCCTGGCCCTGCAGGTGACCTTGCTGGTGAGAAGGGCTTGGGTTGCTAACACTGCTCGTCTTTGGGACCTTCAAAACCTGAGAGCCACAGGTTTTGTCCTCTGCAGCAGCGCACCGAGCTTGCTGATGGGCGGTTTTCCGGCTTATTTGGGAGGAGCCGGGTGCTGGTGCCAGAGGGTGCGGGATGAAGATCACTGAGCAGCACGGACACCCGCTGCAGCAAACCGGGCGCTTTTTGCAGTCCCTGGCACGGGCCCGAGCTTCCAAGCTGGGCGTGCAGCCTTTGTTTGCGGTGTTAGCTGCGGCTGGGCATTGTCCATGCGGCTGGACACGATCAGCTTTCTCGAGAAGGGTTCAGGCCGAGGGTGGAGCAGCCGGGCCGCGCTCCCGCAGCGCCGGGGCCGGCGCGGGCCCTCCCCGCGGCGGGTGCAGCTGCGGCCCGGCCCGGCCCGGCCCTGCCAGCTGGCTGCGGGCCCTGCCCGAGTCCCGAGCGGCTCCGTGCCTGTGCCAGGTCAGGAACACTCGGCGGCATCGCCGTGCAGCCCCTCCCGTGCGGGGGCCGCCCTGCGGGACGGTGCCCGTGTCCCCACGTGCCCTCCGGAGCGCCCTCCACCCACCGCCACTGCTCCGGGCCCCTCCACCCTCCCCGGGCCTCGCCCTCTGCTGGCAACGGGACGTGGCCTTGCGGAGAAGCAGCTCTGGCTGCCTCCACTCACACCACAGGGGCAGGAGACCCTTAAAATTTTTCCCTTGCAGAGGAAAATCCCACAGTGTCTCCTTTGGCCCCAGATGACCCCGGAAAAGCAAATTCCAGAATCCCAGATGCTTTTTGGAGAAGTGATGCGTTGTGTAAAGCATCATTTGATAATTTTTATTAATCTGGTGTGCCTTAATCCACGTGGCATGAGCCTCATGTAGAACCATGGCAAGAACCAGACGTCCACAGTTCTGGGCTGTGAACCTGTGCATCATGCAGGAATAACCTGCACATGGATGGACATGAGAAATATTGTTGAGGATCCAAAAGGAAACAACCACTATAGAAATCCCAGTCCACACTACTTCACTTCCTAGTCCACCTATAAAAGGTGCTGCTCAGGGCTAGCTGTCACCTACTATTTATGTAAGAATGACATGGTTCAAAGATGAGAGAGAGAAGCTTCATTTAGTATCTCTGCTGACAGATAGCAATGTCCATTGCCCAAAAGAGAGCTGCCCTCTGCCAGATGAGATGTTTCAGCATATCTTCTGGGTCCCCAGACAGGAAGGCACTGGTGCATCCCTAAATTCTGCCCACTAACATCCACCCTCTGTGTGGGGTGAATCCACAAATTCCTATTGCAAATACAGAGGGTAACTACACTGACACTTGTGGCAATAGCCATAAATTCACATTAAAAGCCTTCAAGTAATAGCATTGCTGTGTAAAGACAGCCTTTGAAAAGCTGGTTTCCAAAGCTTAGCAGCAGGATTAGGAGGTTGCTGGCTCTTAGCTGCAAGCTTTGCAGATGCTAGGGGCTGGCAAAGCAAAATGTGTATCACATGAAAAAGTTGATCAGGTCTGACTCTCCCCTGCTGTGAGATTACTTTTCTCACTACAAAGCATTTCTCCTCAGCAGTAAGTTCAAAGTACGTGTGGGCATGAAGATAGTGTATTGTTCACCAGCTCACTGTTCTGCTGAGCAGCCACGTTGCTTGTTCCCTGTCTCAGGTTATAAACAGTGCTGAGAAGCTCAAAATTGCTCACAGCTTAAACAACCTAATCATGATAACCTAGCCTATCTTACCCTACTGCGAGCTCTACTTTAATAATCCTGCTTAATCATTAAACCACAATAAAAGCAAGCCAAGGAGTTTAAGGCAAGAGCCAAGCCAAGGTGGATCAGAGCACCGCTGCAAACTTGAACTGAGCAGTCTCCTAGAGACAGAAGCAGCCACACAAAGGGATAACAAAATTGTTGTGCAAAGGGTCAGAAACATGTAGCAGAAAATTTGTATCCGTTGAGACTTGTGAAGCTGTGAGCGGCTCTTGCTAGTTAAGACCCTGCAGTTTTGCCCTATTTACATCCTTTTCCCAGGAGACCATCTTGTTATCTGAGATACACACTCCACTCAAGTCTTGTTGATGTCGATGCTCTGACTAAACCCTTATTCCTGGTGATTATTGAGTATAACAGTGGTTGCCGGTTATTTTTCAGAATGCTTTACCCCTCTACTGAAGAGTAAAAAGACAGCAAATTCCTTGGACAGACCTATTCCATGCCACAATACTGCATATTGTGTTATGGCAAGTGAATTTTTTTCCAAGACCATTCCATAAAGAGGGTGAGGTTAGATTTAAAAAAAAAAAAAAAAAGGAAAAACAGCAAAGGAGACAGAGACACTGCTTCTGTCACTTTGCTGTGGACACTGAGAACAGGGTTAGGCCAAGTCCTGCCCATGGATGCACCCAGGGCTTGCACTGGTTCCAGGAGGATTATTTTTGTGTGCATGAGTGCATGACAGACAGAACAGATTTGGTCCTTGTTGCTTTGACTTTTCCAGGATGCTCCATTTATTTGTGCATTTTAGGAAACAGACTGGTACAGTCAAATGTTCTGTACCTGGGTTCCCCTTCTCCCACCCAAAGCAGAAATAATTTTAGGCTAAAAGCATCACCCATGCCAGAAAATGAGAGACAAATCCTTTCAAAGGCAAAGGACTTACCAAAACCACCAGGGTTTCACCTGAGTAGGACTAAACAAAGAACTTCACCAGAGTCTGTGACAATTTGGCTGAAGAGAAATGAGTCCATTTTGTATTTTCAGACCAAAATAATTGTCTGGGTGGGGGAACACTCTTGCCTCAGCTTCCTTGAAAGCAGGAATGAGAGGATTGGTATTGCTGAGATCATTCTAGAATCTGGGTTACGGTGCAGAAAACTGATTCATGTTCTGCATTTGGAAATGGGGTATATTTCGTCATCATTGTCTCACTACCACCTCTTGTAGGATTTGACTGCAGCATGGAAGCATCCTGATATAACTTTACAGTGCATCATGTTGTTACTGTAGTAACTTGTTACTAGGACATCTTGTGTTATCTTTATTGCTGCAGTACCTGGTACAAATGTACCACTGCTTGTCCACACTGTTATTACTGCCTTATTCCCCATACTAATTTACTGCAGCATCCTGTTGTGTCTTATTGCTGCATTATCAAAATGCTACTTTACTGCAGTGGCCTGTGTTACCTTATTGCTACATTTATTCTGGCAATATTATGTCAGTTTACTGCCACTTTTTATGGCTGCCCTGCTACCATTTTATTGCAGTACTCTATGGGTTCTTAGTGCTGAGTTATACTGAGAGTACATTAATCCATTTGCTTCAGCCTAACGCCGTCTGCACTGACTTGTCGAACCTTTCCTAGTTCTTGTCCTGCTGCTGTTTTGCCACAATAGCCATGTGTGCTCTGGATACTCTATTAACCAAATAACAGTGCACAGCCATATTTCACAGCCATAGTCCTGTAAATATGGGTAGTTTTGTAGCTAGCTTGCACAGCTTGGACATTGTAGAAGCTTTCCAGACTGTCTTTCCTTGAATTAATGCCATTTAGAGCATAAACAGAGGTGGAAAGCTGATTTCCTAACTCATCTTCAGCATGATGAGGTAGTTGGAAGACACTGGACACTTAGAAAGCAGCAGATCACTGCTTGCAATGCTCAATGGGATACCATTCGGTGTACAAAAGTAGCATCACTTGGAATAAGCAAGGTCATTAAAAAGCAATAATTCAAGAATGTGGTTCATGTGGAAGTAGTTACATGTTAATATCACCATATGTGAAGTAAAAGACATGTGAAGAACAGTTAATATGTATTCCCAGGAGGAGGCCTTGTCTACTCTCATGTTTGTTTTGGAGAAATTTAGTCAGGAAACAAGAAGCAGAGCTTTCTTCCCTCCAGAGGATATGCAGCTCTGTCCGCTCAGCTAGCCATTGCTGAGCAGATTAGTTTGCACAAGTGTGCATTTAAATGGCAAGCTGTTCAGCATCCAGGCCCCCTGATGCACGCCCATATGCATACTCTCTATGTCTGTAAGAACTCCCTCCATGCGCTCAACTGTTCAAACACAGAATATTCCCCACAGGCAAAATACTGTGGCAGCCAGTGTGACCGTCCTGCAGGAATAAAGCTGAAAGACAAAGCAGAGTGTGTGGCTCACAGGGCAGCAGCTCATCCTCAGGTTAAAGTCTGGCATTTCTGCTGCCTGCACAGACCATAACCCAAATTCCACCTGTCCCATTGCCCACCAGCACTCTCCAGTCCTGCCCACATGTGTCGCCATGCTGAAGGTCCTGAGGAGTACCTCTGTGGAGCTACCCCATCCCTCCCCCAGGAGATGACCTCTCCAGTCATGGGAACTCACTGCAAAGCAGGGACCCACATGTGCCACGTTACTATCCCTGCTCCTTGCTACACACCAGTTTCATATTTTATGTGTGCAAGTTGCTCAGGAATGCTCTGCAGACCAGCTGGAGGGTTCACAAGACAGACCTCCCGTGGGAAATGCCTTGCTGCTGGGCAGCACTGGCAGCAGAGTAGCTTGGAGTGTGAGCAGCTGTTGGTTTACAGAGCTCCAGTGATGCATGGCACTGGAGGGTTTGACAGAGATAAAAACACCATCTACAAGACTCTAAGAAGAGACGACCTCTGCATTTTCCTAGGGATGACCAAGGGGGCACATATGCATATGCATGAATGGACATGTGAACTTATTAAACAAAGACCTGCTATTTCCCAAGGGGACTCTTTGGCTGGGTGGGCAACAGAGGACAAATAGGTCCTGCAAGGGCAGCTAAGTGACAATTTGGAGGATGACAAATGTTCTCTTCAGAGGCAGGAGACCACAAGAATGTCAGGGACATTCATGGTTCTGCAGTCCTGGAACTTCCTTGTGTGTCATGTATATGTAGGATGAATTTGGTCTGAAGGTCAGACAGCAGGCTGTTTAGGGTATAGGCATGTGTAAAGAACAAAGATCCTACTCAGACATCTACTGTACATTCATGCAGGTGAATGGACCTTAGGTATAATTGATATTAGGACTTTTCTGCAGGAAAGAAAAGAGATATCAGAATGAGAACTGTCATGGGCAAAGAGGAAGGGGTTTTTTTTCTGACAGAAACTATGCTGGCATGTTTTTGTGCATACATAGGCCTTGGATATTAGAATAATACTTGCCTCAGAAGTGAATGTTGTCAATAGCCAGCTGTCTACTTAGCTAGATGGTTTTGCCTAGGTAGGAATGTAGACTTGTAGCCATGTAGCAGCTTCTACCACCTGTACAAAAAGCCAATTTGCCTTGGCATGAGTGAAGAAGACCAAGAAATGTCTAGTTTCATGTATGCTTCAGATCTGAACTGCTTACAAAATATAGGAGATTTTTGTGAGTCAGCTGAGTCTTGAAATTCTTTTTATATATAGATAGTATACTGTATGTGAATGCAGGCCATTTTCCTATCTGCAGCTAGTATAAATGGATTTCATAACAAAGTCACTTCAGTCCTGTCCTCATCCTAACCGCCATACTTCCAACAGCTTGAAACAAGCTACTGGGCTGTCTTTTGCTGTTGCATTCATGAGCTGCAGGTCAGATGAGTTTTAGTGGAAGCTCATTTCCTCCAGTGGTACAATTTCACTCTCAGAATGCTGCTTCTCAGCAGGGTCAGTTATCTGAGCACGATATCACAGCTGGGTATGCTGCTGTTTAGGGAGTGTCACTTGGCACCTTGCCCATTCGCACCATCAATTCCCTCCTCAGAGTTGCCTTTCCCTGGACACAAGTGAATGGATTTTGGCCCTCTCTGACTGGAGAGCTGGAGTCCTGTTTGGTTTGCTCGGAGAAAAGTTTGAACATCCATCATTGATTAGGTATGCAAAATCTTAAATAAATAGAAAATTAAATAAAATATAAATCAACTCACTTTAAATACTGTGTATGTGAGTGTGTGTGTGCGCTTGTGTGTGCATTGCACATCTTAAACATGACTTTTTGAGCATCAGGCAGAGTCTGATCACATTTGCACTACGCGCACATGCAGAACGATTCCACCGACGTCAGAGAATTTGCACCAGGATCAGTCTGACTCAAGGGGGAAGATCTTCAGGTGATGAAAACCACTCCTGCTTTCCTCACTTCAGGTGAGGATCTGGTATCATCTCTGGACATGCTACATGCTATTGGAAGGACAATGAGTGATGAACTTAATGCCTTTCTTTTTTTTTTTTTCCCATTGTTTTAAAGGAGGAGAAACATAGGAAAGAAAAACCAAGTTGAAGTCAGTGAATCTGCAGGTGAAATGCATTTGGGATTTTGTGAGAAGGAGAAGCAGCTTCCAGCTAAAATATCCAGATATTTTATTGGATCCAGACAGCCACATGAAAGGGAGTAAGTGGGATTGCGGTGCCATCTTATTACAGTCACGTTTGTGCCAGGGAGGAAAGAGATGTGGAAAAACACTGATCTCTCTCAGCTCTTCTTTCTCCAAGCTGTAGTTGGGTCTGTTTCCTTAAATAACAAGACAGCAAGCCCTTGCCTTGTTGACCTCCTGTGTATGGTGAAGTGTTCTCCAAACCTCAGCTGGAGACAAAGTACCTGCACAGAGCTCAGGGTCCTTAAGGAGCTGTGCAGACAGGGAAGTGTTGGTGTAAACTGTGAAGAGAGGTGCTCCACTGGTGTGTGGCTCTCTGCTTCCACTTGCTCAGGCTGTCTCCCCAGCAGGGACTTGTTCTCCCTGAAATGCCCCGTCCCCGGCAGCGGTCCCAGCTGTCTCTCCCGCGGGGCGGTCAGCCGGAGCTGTCAGGAGGACTGCATCAGGCCCGTGAGGCGCTTGCTTGCCAGAGACTTTCCCTGGAGGGAGGGACAAACAGACAGAAGAGATCCAGAGGTGTAAGTGATGTCTTGGAATGGTTTCTCTGGGAGCGAGGGGCAAGGGCCTTCCCCGAGAGTGGGGCACAAGCCTCTTGTGACAAGGGACGCAGGTGGGGTGAGCCTGCCTCTAGAATTTCATATGCCTGCAGTTCTGCCCCAGGAAAGTGGTTTGGCAAGGAGGAGTTGTGCCTAAGTCCAGTGACTATCACTCAAGGATGTGCCCTGGGTCTCGTGAAGATATTTCCTTTCTCCAGTTTCATGGGAACTGGTAAAAGCAAAGCCCTGTCGTACACTCACTGCTACTCATGCTGTCCTGCTGGTGCAGAGCTCTACCCAGCACAGGGTAGAGCTCTTAGGGAGGGGATGCACAGCCAAGGCTGCTGTGGAAACTGGGATGTCCCTCCCACAGTCTGTGAATCCGTATCAGCTGCACAGCATCCACCACAAGCAGGTCTAGGAAAAAAGTAATTTCAGAAACAGTTTAGCCTGTTCCTGTGCTGCTGTCACTCACCTTGGCACACTCCTTGGTCACTTGCCTCATGGGTTGGTGTCTGTTCTCTCCTGCTTGGCCTCCCTGCTGTCCCTGTGCTCTCCTCCAAGCCACCAATGCAAGAGTGTGGCTGTGGCAGCCCTGCTCAGGCCCTGCTGTCATCCACATGAGCTTTCCCACTGGCAGGACCAAGGACTAGAAAGAAGGAAGATCACCTGCACATCTGAACTCCTGCCCTAACTTAGACCATGCAGCACCTCCTTTCAGGAGCAAAGGACCTACAGGACCTATTTACGGACCTGCAGCCAGTGTTCTCCATTTACAGACAGGGTATATCCACATAGGGAATACTGATGGCTTTGCAATTGCTGATATAACAGTGAAAAACTATCTCAGGTATTGCACCAGGTGCTGTATTTCTTTTGTGAACTTTCCTCTTTAAAAATTATGGTTTTCCTAAAGGAAAAAAAAAAGTCTTGCTTGAAATAAACATTCAGGGAATACCAGAGAGCTGTAGAATACCTAGCAGCTCTTAAACAACCTCCTCTTCATTACTATATTTAGCCAAGATTTCCTTTGCAATAGGAAGTCTTACTGATTGCTGTTTCAAAGAAAGAGCCACAAAAAGAGCAAGAGAAATGGATTATTCAGTGAAAATAAGTAAGCATAAAATGTAGAAAAAAATTCTGAAATGTAAAAATGGGCAGGCTATTGGAAATAAATATTTTTAAACAAGTTAACACTCTAGGAAAAGACAAACACTTCCCACCTCCCTTTGATTTCTAATCTCTTTCCATGTAGGGCTGTTCAAGGAGGATGTAGCTGTTCCCTACAGAAGTGGCATTTCATTACTGAGATGTGTGACTTTCACCAAATAATTTGTTCAGCTGCATGAGCACACACGGCCTAATCTGTCGTGTTCTGTATACCAGCAGCTGAGGGAAACACTGTCGTTGTGCCGACTGTCCTGCCTGGCAGGAGAGGCCCACAGCCATTGCTCTGTGCCTCACACACAGGGCTCAGCATGGAAATGGCCAGCTCCATCCCAGAGCTCTGCAGACACACCATTCAAGATACGCAGGTTTTTTTGGTTTCTGTTTTTTGCAGTATAAATCAATTTTTTGATTATCACTATTTTTAAATGCACTGTTGTAAAGCTTGGCCCAGTGCTACCCCAGTGGTTGGCCAAGTCTTCTGCAGAGCAACATGGCTTGGGGGGGGCTAAGACCAGGGCTGTCATTTTGTGGCTCTTGAGGAATACCAGAGAGAGTGTGCTAAGGAATTATCAGTCCCTGAATCCTATTTATAGGAAGAAGAAGGTAAAGATATGGATGTTAATTCCTGGAAGAATAACATGGCTGAGTTAAGGGGGGAAAAAAGTTAGTTTCCACCAATATTTGGGTACTTCCTTAGGAAAAAAATCAAACAAATAAATAATCCTTGGTTTACATAAAGCCTATTCAGTCAGACTCTAACTAATCTGCGGCAGGCAGCTCCTCTTGTTATCTTCTCACAGGCAGGTGGCTTGGGGCTACGCCAGCTCCCTGTGTCAGGTTCCAGCAGGGCTGAGGAGCAAACACTGCTCCTCATCCCCCACTTCAACATTGCTGTGCTCAAAGCAGGGAGGAGAAACGCCGGTAGTGGGCCAGGCTGAGGAGAGGGGACGGCTGCCCTGGAGGAGGTGGTGGGCTGGAAACGGAGCCAATGGCCGTGATTTGCGCAGAGCGAAACTTTGCTCTTGGGTTTCCCAGTGGAAACTGCGTCTCATTGCGGGGAAAAGCAGTGGCCTCCATCTGCAGCTCCCCCGTCTCATGGGAAAGGCGTTACCCTGGGAACGGTAGCAAACTTCCCGCCTGCAGGCTGGGATGAGTCCCCCGTGCAAAGCCCGTCTGTCTGGGAGGGTAACTGTGCCAGGGAACGGCCTCATGGGCGGGGACATGCAAACAGATGGGTGCAAGAAGCTCTGCTTTAAGACAGCAAGAAGCAGGCAACAATGTTGTCTGCTCGGTTGTTGCGTTCACCTCTGTGTTAGGACAGATGGCAAAAGGATCCCTGAAATTGCATAAATTGCTGTGACATTTTTGACTACAAGCAAAAGTGCTGTAATGTTCAGCCCCCAACTAGAGGCATACTAGAGGTAGGGGGATTTTGTTTCAACCCAATGCAGGGCCAAGTGTCAGCCTCACAGCATGGGTGTGAGCGACACAGATATCTGCAGGCTGGGCTTGGGTGGGATGCAGGTGTTTGGTTTAGGATTCTCTCACCTTAGACCTCCTCATTAAAATAAAAGGGGATCAGGAAAAAATTGCATTTCATTAGGAAAACTGGTATCTCTTTCCTATTACTAAAATGAACAAGAAGGGAGTAAAACAGTGTATAACAGGTGGAAAAGCTGGATGGGATCTGCAATCCACCTGCTGATATAAATCAACATGACTCAGTTGTTTTCACAGAAGTGCTGCTAATTTACACCACTTGAGGGGCTGGCCCGTGCTATCTCTGTTTCAGGTTTAGCCCTGCAGGGCTTCTAAGGCACAAAGCCCTTCAAGAGACACAAAAGTTTGCATCAGCTGACTGAGAAAAACATAAATGCAGCACACACAATGGGTTCTTTGGAATAGGGCAGCCTCTCACCCCGCAGGCAGCCAGCACTCTCCCCAGGACCTCCAGCCAGTCCATCCAAACCTGCCTGCCCCTGCTTGCCAAGAGTGTGTCCGTGGCCAAAGAGTCCAGGATGGTGACAGCATGCTTTAGTGTCATTGCTTGGTGTCCAGAAAAGAGGTGTCTGGGTAACTGAGAGGGTGGCCTGTGTCCACCTTGAGACAGCAGAGGTGGGATGCACACCTGTATTCTTTGTGATCCCACAACCCTTCCCTGAGGCTGCGTAGTGGGAGGGCCTGGGTCAGTCAGGTGAAAGGCTGCTCTGAGAAAGCTGGAGGTGGCTGAAATAGTTCTTAACCAGGTACAACATGTGCCAAAAAAAGTTCAGGTCCGGGAGAGCATGTTGGGTCTCACCTACCACATGGAATGGGTGGAATGATCTATCTGACAGAGCAAGGATGTTTCTGATTATTATGATGTGAAAGATTGGCACAAGCAACACCTAATTTCTTTAAAAAGATTCAACCAAAATAAATTATGTTTTCCTTCCATGCATCTTTGTTTAGCATGAAACCAGCGGCTGTCTCTGCCTCTCCTTTCCCCACTGTAAGAGAATGTCAACAACAACTGCTGTATTTCCAGGAGAAATTTCATCTAAGCCAGGCTGGCAGGGGATTTGGAAAGTGTACCATCTCAAGCTCAGCACACTTCAGTGCTTCTTTCACTGTGCCACATGTATATGCTGAATAACTCAAGGCAGGATTAGAGTGGATGTAAGGAGTGAACTTTTTACATGGGGTCTAAAGTCTATAAAGAAATCCCAAGTCCTCCAGTCCCCAAATATTTGTCACTACTAATTAGGGTTACATCAATTAAAAGCCCAGACTGTTGTCACTGAAACAACACAGCACAAGCAGTAGGGCATATGTTGTACAGCATATGTTGTGTGTTGTCTTGCATGCAGGAAGGCCTCCTTCTCTCTCATGTCCTGCAAGCAATTGAGCTGTTCCACAGCTTACAGGCAAGGTTGACATGGAGCTTCACTGCATCTGGTAATGTCCAGTTCTCTCTGCACTGCTGGTTTGGTTTTTCTTTGCCCTTGAACACTTCCATGACAGGAGCCATTTCTTAAAGACAGTGTAAAATGTAGATCTGGAGTATTCTAAGGAAAAAAAAATCAGGGAATTCTTAATAAACCTAATGAAAATGTCCCCTAGAATACGACTTCCAAATATGTAGCCATCCTAACTCCTTGGCTGCATGTCCAGCAGAGGATTGGATCTCAGCACTTGTGGACCATCAGGGCTCACTGAGGCCCACTGAAATAAAGACTAACCTGCAGGTCACAGGAGATGGTTGCCATCTTCAGGGGCTGAGCCTTTGCTGAGCAGCTGCTAAGCTAAAGTGTAAAGTGCAATCAGCAATTATTTTAATGAAGCAAAATTCAGCAATTTAATATAGCCAAGAAGCCAAGTAAGAAGGAAAAAAAGAGTGTCTGGAATTTGATGCAAAAACGGACAGCACTCCTTCCAAACCTACTGTATGAGCCAGCAGAGTTTCCATCTTGCTCCTTGCTTTTATCGGCCAAAACTAGCACTTTGCACAGTTGGGAGAATATTTTAAAAAATATTTTTAAATGGAAAGTTCAGTTCTGTCCAGTGCCCATGGCTTCACACAATGTTGGTATGCTGTGCCCAGCGCAGTGCAACGCAGCATGCAGACATTCCCCACCTCAGCATGCACAAGCCTGAGCTCCCATGCATGTTGTCAACAACTTACCTGAACACCAGGCAGGATTTATCCCATAATGAGCTTTGTGGCTGCAGCAGGGGCAGAGAGGAGAGATGGCAGCACAGGCTCCCCTGTGCCATGTCAGTACAGACCAAGCTGACTGCTCACCTCCACAATTTCCACCCACCAGCCTGGGGCTTTGTTTGTTACAGCTGTCCCCACTTCTTGCTTTCTACCCCTCATTTGTGTTCAGGGCTCTCCTTTTCCCAGCCTGCTGCCCAATCTGCTCCAGCCAGAAGCATCACCTTCCTGGAAGAGAAGTCATGTCATGGGGAGCACTGATGCCCCATCGCCCTTTGCAGAGAACTGGGGCTGGTCTGCATCTCCAGTGGAGGTGAGACGATTCTCCTTCCATTGGTTTGAATCTTTTTCACATCATCACAGGCAATACTCAGTTTTCCTATCTGTTAGATAACATACTGCAAGAAATTTGGCAGTGGGCAAACAACATCCTGCAACCAAATTTTACTTCTGAAGAGATTGTGATGGCCCTAGCACTGCCAGCACTGTTTGGTTTTCAACGTTATATTACAATACAGAGCTTGGGGAAGCTTTATTTTTGTGCCATTTAAAAAATAATCCTTTTATTAGATATTTTCATTAAGATATACATTGTCAACATAAGATAAGTGTAACATAAATTAATGAAGTTAAATAAGAAACTGAATTAAAAACATAAACAATACTGGAAAATAACTTAGTTCAACACAAAATAAACACAGACATACAAACTATGAATATAAGTAACATAAATTAACACACAAAATGTGGTGGACAATACCACCAATTACACACTGACACAAACTGAAAACAGGAGCTGCAAAGTGGCTGTAGAGGGTAAGGTGGAGCCAGATGCTCCCAGCATGTGGAACGCTCACCTGTTCCTGCCACTACAGTCTCATGAGTTGCTCCCAAGCTCCTGCAGAGTGGGCCCCACTCCTCTTTTAAGGCTTGACTGACAAGCTACCTGAGCTTCTTGCCATTCCTGCCCATCAGAGTGAAACTCGACCACCATGGGTTACATTCCCACATATGATATTGCTTTTTTGCTCTTCTAGCTCTCTTATGAGAACAGTTCGGAGCTTCAGTCCAGTTAAAACCAGTATCATCTATTCCCATTTTAAGTTGTGAGGATTTCTTATGCTTCCTAAATGAGGCATTGCACTTTGCTTGGAGAAAAACCAGTACACCACTGCATATGGTACAAACCAGGATCTCTGTATTCACCCACTCCTAGCACAGCTTCATAATAGCTGCAGCCTTCCTCTTCCATCCCACCAGTACCACAAGATCCTCTTTTTTTGTGGTACAGTCTGGGCTCCTTGTAGCTGAGAGTGAACCAGTTTTGGCATTGGTTAAAGCTGTCTGTGGACTGCAGATTAAGCATGTTTTCCTTCCTTTGACACAAACCCAGGAAGACAGAGAAGCAGATGGATCACTGCAGCCAGTACACAATGGTGTAGCAGACTGCTTTTTCAAGCCACCTCAGAAATGCCCTAACTGAATGTTGCTGGTCTGCCTCTAGGGCATGGTGTGATTCTGTGCAAAGGACTCAGCTTGTTTGACAGCTTTCAGCACGACTGGGAACCAGATATGTAAATATCTTGTACAGAGGAAGATGGATGCACCACTGAAATATCAAATCTCTCTGGAGTATCAAAATAAACTTGGCTAAAATCACAGCAGGGGCTAAGCACACCCTTCCTCCCAAACACCTTGCTAAGGTCATGGTTTAGTATCTGCAGCTAGACCTGTCTGTAGTGAGAAGGTACCTGCTTTTGTCTTCCAGGATTTGTGTGGGGCTCAAATAAAATACAGCGAATTAATAGTGGGTGTGTTTGAACTCTGTATAGTGCCTTTCATCTAGAAAGGTCCCCAAGCAATTTCACAAATGGTATGCACAAAGATCACTCACCCACTTTGCCCTTGCAGGGGCAAAAGGAAGCTGCCATCCTGTGCCAGCAGCACCACACAGCAGTGCTTTTAGGAAGTGAAGGATTAGAAGCTAGAATACTTCCTGGAAACAATGAATACTTACCCCTTAAAGGAAGCCCTGTATCTAGAGCAGACTGTGCAGCATACAGGTGACACATGCAACTTACCCCTGACCGAAGCAGGTAAGGCGCCATGACGACAGCCAGGGCAGGCGTGGTACATCCCTGCCTGCAGCGGCGAGTCAGTGCATGCGCCGTGCAGGACATGCATGCAGCCCTCTGCAGCCCCAGCTGTGCACACTGGCTGGCTCACACCATGGGAGCAATCACAGGGCAGGCTGCAAACACAGGCTGCAGCCCCTCTGCGCTTTGGGTACGTTCTGATGCTTCCCACCACCTCAGTAATGCAAGTTCCTTTTCTCAGCACAAGCCAGTGTAATGATTGGAGTAGTCAAGTGACCGCATTTTATTTAAAATAAAATACCTTCCAAAGATAAAATAACCCTTTTCCCAGATGTCTTTTCTTGATGACAAATCTAAAAAACTTTGGAATCCACTCCTGTATCCCTTCCCTTCTTGCTATCTATTCTGATAGCCACTTCACCAGCATCTCAGTGTCTAATCTTTTTATACTTTCCACTTTTTCAACCACTATTCTCTACCAATAATGGCTTAAACCTTTGTCTTTATTGGAGGTTGTGAATACTTTCCATATCCTCAAATGCTGTGATCTATTTATGCAAGCTGGTAGAGCTGGGAAAGTGAAAAAGTGAGAAAAGTGGTAAATATATGACAGCTTTATGAGATTATCAAGGAACTAGTTAAAAAGATGACATTGGGCAGCAATTCTTTCTCCAGCCTTACACCTTCTTCACTGCATTCATGGTTACTATTTATAATACATCACAGTGACACAGCTGTGCAAAACATCACACAGTTCACCATAGAAAGATAAGATTCTATCAACACATTTCACATGTGTGACACCACACTCATGAATTAAGAATAGGACTGAGTTTGACTGGGAGTCTGATCCAACAGTACACAAACCGAGAAGATATAAAAAAGAGCATGAGTAGCAGTGGCCAAGGGATTAAGCTCAGGGTCAGGAAGATGGGGAAGCAGCAGCAGATAAAAACAGAAGTGACAACATGGAGCTGGGAAACAGCTGAGAACATCAAGGAAGGGACAGCCAGGTAATAAGGGTAGAAACTAAAACTTTCACAGCTATATAATGCAAGGGAACAGATACATATGGAACTGAAATTAAATATGCAACTGTGGATTTCTCTGAGCACTGAACTGGGATGCATTTACATCCTGAAACAAGAATTGTTCAATATAAAATTACCAAAAGATACCAGAATGCTAATGACAGTTTGCATCACTGCAAGGAGGAGGAGGGCATTTTAGGCTCCAGACAAAAAGCATCTTGGGCACTGAGCATGATGAATACATTGAACACAAGATCTCCAGTCATTCTTGTTTCTGGGAAAGTTATCCTTGCATGAGAAACCCAGGTGGAGCACTGGCTCCACAGCCATTAAGGATATCATGTGGGACTTTGCCTACAATGCTTCTGGGTGAAAATACAAAACCACTAGACTGGGGCTGCTAACACAAGGATAACAGCAGCTCCTGCTTCCCAGCTTCTCCTTCTGCCTATGCTATGGTTAATGAAGCTGGGCCAGTCTGTCGATGCAGTTATTAACCTGTGCCTGGGAACAATCTTCAATCTTCATTGATGTGCTGTACAAAATGTTCCATCCAAAATGTCCAGGATTCTTTGAAAAGGGTCATTTGAAAATCCTTATTCTTACATCCTTAAACTACAGGCTACTTCCCACACAGCTCGAACACAGACCATCTCATCCTTCACCTTATTTTCTTTCAACATTGCATTGAATTTACACAAGAGATTCTTTGCCTCCTTCAGGTAAAGACCTTTTCCACCCTTACACATTATGTTCCCCCAGTCCAGTAACATAATGTGTAACAGTGTCCCACATCTGTCAGTTCAGCCAGAATTTGTAAAAATTCTGCCTAAAGTATAGATCATTGCTCTGGTCACTATCTTGTCCTTTAAAGCACAAAGACAGAGAACTCTTATCCTCTAAAAGGGGTCCATGTGGGTGTGCCTTTTTTCTTAAAGAAGTATCGGTTGGGAATAAAATCCAGAGGTCTTGGCACTGAGTCACCACCTGGACACTGAGTCAGAAATTTTAACACCTGTTTTCTTCCAGGGAAAATTCCTTCCCTGGAAGATAGCCATTTTAGGAAAGGCTGAATTCAAGTTTGCATATGATGGCCCAGGCTTATCTAAGTTACCTGCTGAGGCTGGTATCCATAGGTTTAATCCCTGTTATTGCTGAAGTACCCATTGCTGCTTTCAGAGATAATGCTTAAGATGCAACAAAGGAGCCCCCTCCTATTTCCTCCTTTATTAAATGCAAATGGCTACCAGTGCAAGTTAGGCAGAGACTTGGTGGCTTCCTTTGTGAGACAAAAAGCAGCAGTAGTTCCCCTAAATGTACTCATTAAAATATATTTTCCTTCTACACTTGGCCCTGAAGGATCATCTCAGCTTATGAGAACTAAGCTTCTGTCTATCTGATTATTAAATAATTTCCAAAGCAGATGGGAAACTACAGTGGTTTAAACAGCTAGGCTGAGG